TGTAGGAAATGCATAATTTATAAACCTAAGGCTTGAGACTGCATTACCACCTGATAATGGTCAAGCTGTTTTAGGCAGTAAGATTAAATAGGAACTGAGATGCAGAATCTCATCCAGAGAGAGAAAAAAAAGTATTCAATGAAATCTCTGAGTCTAAAATTGCAACATAGTGAAGCAATCTGGATCTCCTAAAATATTTTTTTTTTTACTTTTGACTTAACAAGGTATCCATCCCTCTGATGGATAGATGGTATCCATCTACTTTAGTTTCTTTAAAAAAGTTTTAAACTGTAAAAATATAGAAAACAATATTGATTTTCCTGATAATATAAAACAATATAAATTGCATGTAACTTTATAACTTTGGTAAGCCAGAAGTGTATACTTTTATTATAATTGGCAGAGAAGAATAAAACAGCAAATACAATTGAAGAGTATATCCTTGTATAAATTCTAAACACCATATCTTGAAGGAATTAGCTACTTTACCAGAAATATTTCATTTGAGAGACTTCTAAATAACAAAATCAACAAGAATTTTTTAAAGTAGGTCTTTTTTTTTTTTTTGTGTGTGTGTGTGTGTGTGTGTTTCCATTGTATTTGCTCCTGGCTTACAGTAGGACTGTTAGGAACTTTTATTTTTAGTGGAAACGAGGACTGGACACAAGACTGTTTTAGGGATATAAATAAACAAGGTCAAGGAAGACAGTGGCCTACATAAAGAAGAAACCTTCCAATATTGCATGCTTTTTTAAAATTTAATTTACAACAGAGAAGAGAAACAGAAAAGGGCAACTGTGAAGCAGGGTCATTTTTAAATATACATGAAAATACATTTTGGCCAGTTTAAAGACATACTACACAGAACTCAAATAGTGGAGACAATTTGGGTATCCATAATAGATTAGTAGGGAGATAATGATACAAATGCTATTTTTGGCAATGTATGTTAAGTGGTCTTTCCTAACTTTTTTAAATATTAAAGCAAAAGAAAGGATTATCTTATTGGAAGCTGCCTTAAGCAGAAGGTCAAATGTAATTTTTATCTTCAGGTTTTTTTGAAGCCCTGGTGATAAAGAAGTTTATTCTTTATGGGTTTGAACATGATTGGTTAGTAGAGATGGATTGGGATGTTGCAGAAAGCAGGAAAAAAAGTAGTATTTCCAGAACTAGTTGTTAAGCATACAAGTTAGCATATTTTAGGCATTATATTGGCTTTTGCAGACAGGATGTCTAATACTTTGAGAAGAGAATAAATGTTTAACTAAATGAAGACAGGTATAAATCCAGAGGCAGGATACTGTAGAGGATTCTGGCAGGGAAGAAAAGGTGGAGAACTGATTACTGGAACTGTGGGAACTATAGCCTAGATTTTAGGGTTCAAGTGCAGAGGTGAAATTTCAAATATGGTTAATTGATCTGAGGATGTGCAACTTGAGCTCTATAATTTCCATGTGCATAAGGAAAGATAGGACCTGTAGAAAATTCTTCTAAGGTAGCAATGGAGGTTTCTATTTCATAGCCCAGAATCAATTTTCTCTATCCCATCTTACACTATTTCATCTGGTATCATGACACTGAAACTGCCTCACTTTCAGACGTTGCCCTTCATTGTAAATATGGGGTCATGCACAGGCATCATGATCACAGGAAAATAATATAAGCTGTACAGGAAAACAAACAAATATAAGAAATGGTATTTATTATTTCTACTTTTTTGTCCTTTGAGCTTTATCCCTAAGATTTTACTATTGTTAATATTTTCCTTCTATTTGGAGAGGATCTGAGTATTAAGTTGATAGTCACTACTTACCTACTCACTCTAGTTTTTCTTTCTTCTTAAAAATTCTTCTGAAATGGGTCTTATAAAAATTTTAAACTAATTTATTAAAACATTATATCTTATGAAAAATAGATGCTCCCTTGGGAATTCCCACCTTATTCAAAATGTGCTTAAGAACAATTTAATTTTTAATTTTAAAATACTTGCTTACTATATGGAGTCTCAAGAGTTAAAAATTCCACGTGGAGATAAATTACTTTTATATTTAAGTATCCTGTCTTTTTATTTCACACCAAAAACTAGACTATTGTTGATTATTGCGAAGTATCTATGTATTTTCAAATACATTTAACATCACTTTATATGTAGATGTATTAAGCACCAATGATTTTTCTAGTTAGGGCATTGTTGATTTAAGCTAAATTGAAATTCTAAATAGATATAGACCTTGGAGGCCATGTTTTATCTTTATTAAAATGTTTACTATTGACAGTCCACATGTAAGAGCTATAGTTTTAATCACAGAACATGACTTAAGACTTACTCAGCTGATAAAAATATTGAATCATCCTCATATTGCCAAATGAGTACCATATTACAGCCCTGTTTTAATTACATGGTTAAGTTGCTTTCCAAACTTATCACCATCTTTCCATTAAGCAAAAGACATATCTCACACTGAGAAATAGCAGGGATGACCTTTTATCAGTTCTGTGTCTTCCATGCCTAAGATAGTTTTTTCAGTGTTCAGCAGTTTCTTTATTTGTTTCTCAGTTTTTATTCATAAAGATTTGATATTTGGATTCAGATTTCATCCTTAATTTCTAAGTTTTCAAAATTTATTTTCTGCACATGAGTAATTGTTAAAAATGCTATTTTTAAATCAGATAATATATTTTCCCTGCTATTCCTAGATGGTTTGTGCTTAACATCTGTCTAAAATTTAGGAAAATTTATAGGGGTTTGAGAATCTGGAAATATTTTAATTTACTGATATTTAGAGTATTTCTGACAGTTAACTCTTAGTATAAAACGTATCAGTAAGAAGAAAACAGTTGTTTTAATTGCTTATAACGTGCTTTCTAGAAAGAATTTTGAAGTCCAGTAGTACATGATAAATTTAACAATTTGTTATTCAATGAGACACATTTAATAGAATCAAAGTTGATGAATTTGACATGTAATTATCAGAAAAAAACACTTATAATTTTATAGAGGACAAACTTCATCTGTTAGATTCAAATAAAGAACTAAGATAGTTTAATGATAATGGCAACCTTAAATTTACCTTAAATTTGAAACAATATTTTTGAAAATAATCATGTGGTTGGCAGAGGCAGACAAGGAATATCACACTAACATCCAAATCTCTGTGTTTTGGGTACTACTGTACTGTCGCGCTGAGTCATTCTCAGAATCACCATGGGGTCAAGGATGGCCTTGTGGAAACCTCTATGGAGTGTATTTCCTGACTCAGCATAGTGTTGTCAATTATTGAGAACTTGTTACTGCCCACTCAATTTGGCTTTCATTTTCTTATTTTCCAGTGAGGAATATGCTTTCCTTATAGTACTGGTGCAACGATTAAATAATGTATAGGATTGGGAATTGCACTTTACCCATGACAAACTCTTAAAAACTATGATAATGATAATCATTAATAGCATTATTATGCCAATATAGCTTCTTGACTTAAAATATAAAAGAATAAATATAAATTATTTTTGTTTTCCCACACGTTACCTTGAGCATCTAAGGATATAACTTTTAAATATGCCTAATGGTAAATTGCTTTAACAGTAGTCAAGAATTCTTAATTTTTAAAAGTTATTCATTAATAATTGGCACTCCTAAATTAGTAGTAGTGCTTGTGATGCTGGTGATGTCATGATACCATGATATCATGACTGATGAATCCTTACAGTGACTCTGAACTAAATTAAAAGACAGTAGAAGTAGACAATAATGGGCAAACCTGCTAGGTTTCTCTGCTAAGCATGAACAATTAAAAATAAAGCCATTAGTAGTAATTGAAGATTTCATGTTTGTATGTAGCAGTTTTAACAGGAAACTAAAGAGAATGAATCCAAATCAACCTCAAATAATAAAATAACCAGTCCTCACAGTCTCATTAACATCTTAAGAGATAATGACAATTGAACTTTTTATTGTGTTTTCCAAAAGCTAATTAGAAATGCAGCTTATGAGTTTTTAGAATTGGAAACAAAACATGTATTTTTCAAAATTTTATTTGAGCTTGTTCCTTCTATGCCTTTTTTCTGACGATAATTAATAGAATAGAAATGTCATAAGTGCATATACCTTAGGATCCAATATGGTATTCTTCTATGAAGCTTGAATATTTTCTTTGTAAACATATATACATTTAAATATGCTAAGCTCTAAGAAATCAGTACGTGTTGAGCATACAGTATCTGCTAAGTGAACCATAAGATACTTTGTATGGTTTCAGAAGTTACTCAAATCCATCATGTAATTGTTGTGATGGAGAAGCCACCTTTGGGTAGTGTAGTCTGAGTCACTACTTAGCTTGTAGCCCCATGCACCTCTTCTTCATCAGCTCCTCCAGAATTCATTCCTCACTTTCTTGTTGCCTTCTCCTATGGCTAGGAAACCAAATACTCAGTTTGCTGTGCCCAGCAATATTACCACTTCCGATTTTTGCCTCTGAAGCTCTAATTGATAACATCTTTATATTTATGAACATTAATATAATTAACTAAACAACTTTAAGTTAATGAATTAAATGATGTGTAAAAATTGGATGCTTTAATCTTTGTTTCACCCTCCACTGAAAAACTAAATCTGCTCTAAACTCTTGCCATCATTTAACGGGTTTCCTGGTTTGACTTCTCAGGCTTGTAAGTTTGAACTGTTTTTCAGCCTCTTCCTCTTCTGCATTCAGATCCACTATTAATTTGTTGAAGTAATTCAGCAGTTGCTGCCTCAAATAGTAAATTTAAATAAATTTTGAACTTTTAGTTCAAGCAAAATGAAGCATTCCCTGGCTAAATTAAGCAAACAGAAAATGACTAACACATCTCTAGATACGTCACATAATCTAAGAGTAACTACCTTCCTACCACCCCTATGTGTGGTCTGGATTTGTAATCCTGAGAACTGCATGTGATTGGCAGAATTCAGAACAAATATTCACTTTATAATTCAGGTGTTTTTATTTCTATTATTGGAATAGAACCACATTAGCATGAAGAGCAACAGATTCCCCACAGGAAAGGGAAGATTCTGCAAGAAGAAGGAGAGGCCAAGGTTCCTGACAGATGAATGTCACATCTTTGATTTTGTTTCCTTCTTTCCCATTCCTGTGTAGTAATATTCTACTTCTGACTCTGTGCCCTGTCTCTGGTTTTTCTCCACTCAATCTGTAATCCACTGGAGGTACATAAACACTCACAGACTAAACTTTTACTCTGCGAACTAAATGCTCCTGCACTTTCACTTTGTCATGTGATTTTTCTAGTAAGTAAACCATTTGTCACCTGTATTATTAATATTGTAATATGATGTTAAATACTTTCATCACATCAACTCTGATTTTTGTGACCATATTAGAGAACCAAATATTTCAGTTAAGTGTGAAGGGATATTTATGTTTTGGAAGAGAATTGTCAAGTAGATTTATCCTTTTCCTCCTTCACCAAATGTGAAAATTCCTTTATTAAAATGGTTCATATTATCAGCAATTTATAATATATAGATCATAATAAATACATGTGTTCTATTCATCTTGTCTTTTTTTATACTGCTACTAGAGATAGTACCTTTGATGGAGTAGGAATCAATAAATATGAGTACATCAATTTTAGACCAGATTTTTATTAATTGAATGCTATTGTTCTAAATATAAGAATATATGTTAAGTGAAATAAGTCAGACACAAAAAGAAAAGAGCAGCATGTTCTCTCCCATACATAGAAGTTATGAAAAAAGTAGCCCTGAAAGTAGAAGAGTGATGAGAGAGGTTGAAAAGGTGTATAAAGCAGACTGGACTTGATCTGTGTAAAATGTACACACATGTTCACTCATCACAATGAGTCCCCTTCATGTGTACAATTAAAATGCTAATCAAAAATCAAATATAAAAGCAATTATTGAAAAATAAATTCAATATAAGCAATACAAACAAAATATGGTACTCTGAACTTGGTACAAAATAAAGTATAAAGGGGCTACTGGTATGGATCAGTTGTAGAGTAAACTCTAATATCTAAACAATGTAGGCATACAGATCGGGAGAGACAGAAGAAATCTGAATAAAGCAAATGAACTCAATATTATGTGTAACTATAATGTACTAATAAAAACAGAAAATAAATTTAAAAAGAAAGAGATGAAATGAAATGCAAAGTATTGATTTAGAGTTATGGAGGAATGCTCAACACAACACATATGGAACAAGTGGTCACAGAAGATTCAAGCCTACAATTTGTTGAAGAATAGCAAACATAAAAGTTCATAGTTGTTCCCTAGAGAAAAGATGGCTACCTCCAAGGAAGACAGTTAGTTGCACCTGCAATAGATGTCTTATTGCTCACAGCAAATACTGGTTTAAATTGGAGCCTTATCTTTAAAACTGAAGGAAAGTCATTACAGTCCAAAATTCCATATTTGATTACCTTTTAATCTGAGATCAAGTGAAAATTATGACAATTATAGGCATGCAAGGAAAATCGTTCTACTCTTGGCCTCCTTCTTAAAATAACTACTGAAGGACATGTTTCAAAAGAATAAAATAAAATATAGGAACAGAGTAAACCACAAAAATAGGTGGTGAATTTATACAAAAGTATTAAAATTGTTAGTACATTTAATTAATTATGATTCTAAAAAGACCAGAGGATAACTTTTAATGCCTAAATATTTTGAACTAAACTTTAGAAAATATTAATGAGTTTGATGTGGATGAGAGCTGGTCAGTGATTAAAGATTGTTAATAAAATGCAGAGTTAACTCAGCTTGTAAAATGTGAAAAACTACTACTTAAATGGCTCCGCCTGGGGTATCTTTCATGGCAGGGACTGAATGGTGTCACCCACGTTTTATATGTACTGAGATATCAGTTATTTTCCAGGTATATGACTATCTATCCAGACTAATGTGTACAATTCTCAGTCTTCTTAGTAGTAGCCAAGAATGGCCAGGTGAAGGAGCTCTGGTCCTATAGAGTGTTATTGGGGATGCTATATGTTCCTTTGCAAACTTATATATACCTGGAACTCAGCAGATCATGAAGGACCATGAGTAGTATTCTCAGTGTCAAGGATAAACAAACAAACAAACAAACAAAAAACAGAGTCACTGCTTGAGTCCGCAGTGCCAGGAAGCACCATACTTCCTTGCATGACTTAAATTTGCATTTAAGTCATTTGGTTTTTTTATAAGGAAAGAATATTCTTGTTCAAGGCTCCATTATTTTTTTTTTAATACATGGCACTTATTCTGAAGCAATAAAGCGTTAATATTTCACTTTAAAAATTGAAAGGAAGAAATAAGAGAATATTATCAGTCTACCAAAAAGTAGCAAAGAGAAAAAAAAATAGTATGGTAAAAAATGAAGAACAAAAAATGAAAGACAAAGCTTTCAAAAGTGGTGATAACAAAAAATGTAAACACATGCAAAACAACTGTTACATGGAGGAAAACAAAACCCCAAACCCAGGTGTAAGTTTTAAAACAGAAGAACTAAAACAGCACAGCAGTTTTATAATAGAGGGATGGATCACATGTGCCCTATAAAAAGATGAATATAAGGCAAATTACCTAATGATAAAAGAATTATTACTCAAGAAACATCAAGTACCATGGAGTTTTGTGTGCTAAACAACATGGTCTTTACTCCACACATTGACAGAAGTAATGAGATAATGGATGGAAACCCCAAGTGTGGAATGAAAATGCAGCACATTTCAATCAGAAACACTACAGAGCAAGACAATGTGTGGAGCTTTGAAGAGTGGTATGAAGAAACTTCAGGGAGTTACATTGTTACATTGTTATATAAGAAAGAAACCTAATCTGTCTGAGGGGGTTGGTGAAGACTTATCTGAAGAATGACATTTCAAAAATATGTCAAGAATAATTAAGACTGAATCAAGGTGAGGGGGTGGCTAAATTTCAGGCAGAGGGAACATTAAAAAAATTAAAGGTTTGAAAATTTCATGATTTTATTAGAGACCAAAGGAGAAAATTATATGATAGGAAGTTGAAAAATTCTGCACAAACTGTATCATATAAGGTCTTCTCTGATCCTCTTTAGCTCAACTCAAAATATCACATTTTGGAAAGAAAGATATAAAGAAAGATAGTTTCTGTTGATTTATGAAAAGCCAGAAAACTTGAAGGAAAGAAAAAAAAAAAACCTTCAAGTGCAAAAACTTATTCTATAGTCAATATTATATATTTTCCAATAAAAGTAACAAATTCAAATTTAGCCTACAAAATAATCAATTGTATTCATAATGTATGCAAATCTAGATTAAGATAGTTACTATATGATGATAGTTGCATATAATGATAGATAGCTATTGCCAGGACTATGCAGAGTCCTAGTCCAAAAGTTCTTATTTGGTAAAGGGCATCATTTCCATCATGTTATCTGTATTAGCGAGACTTCATGTAGGCAGGAATCCTGCAGAGCTTTTCCTCTATTATGTTACAATCTTTTAAGAATTTCTTTATGATACTGAATGTGATTCTTGGCAAAGATGTCGACATCTCTATATATCATAGTATTTCTTGTGAGCTAGTCATCTACCAATTATGACAACTGAGAAATTCTGGAACTGAGGTCCATTGAATTTCACAAATTCCAGTGACTAGATAACCCCAACAGTTCTTCCCTTCTCTATTGTGTGTGGCTAGTTAACATGATACTGGGATCAACTATTATTCAATATTAAATGATTGTGTCTTAGTTTAGACAATGTAAGAAAAGCTGAAGAGCTAACTATAATTTAAAAATACATGCCAGGCAAAGGTATTTAATACAATTTGTTTGCACTGGTTTAGATAACACACTTGGTCTCAAGTTCTCGGTGGTATGTCAATCACTAAGACTCTGTGGCTTGCCTTTGGTTCTCACAGCTCTAATGTCAATAATCCAGTTACTATTTGTATGCATAGTGATTTTAAATTAAATCTGTGTTAAAATGTCATTACATTAAGCTTCAAAAAGGCAATATGCTTGTTTTATTATATTTGAGGCCACATATATAGTGTACTTTTATCCTTAATCCTTGTTTCAGACTCTACTGGTTTTATCCAGATTGCCACATCATGGCTCTTTTTATGGATGCGTAGTTTGGGTAAGTTTCCTAGGGAAGTCTGAAGCTTGAGGCCAGGATGAAAACTTTTGGGAATGGGACTATCAAAGGAAGGACTACTCAGTAGCCAAACAATTGTTCTTACCAGCCAAAGATCAGATAGTAACCAGGAAGCAGTTGGAAAGAAGTTGGAAAGAAGGTTAATTTGAACAGGAGGAAAAAAGGTGATCTTGTATCTCTTATCTGTTCAAACCAATTCCAGTCCTAGAGAAGGATTCCCATTTTGCTCCCACTGTATCACTTCCCTACAATCACCAATCTGATTCTTTCCTAGTCCCTAGCCAGTCAGATAGGCAGGTTTTAAGGATGAATTGCATCAGTCAAGGAAAGCAATAATTTACAATTCTACTCTTGACAGAGAAGAACAGTTCCAAGCATTCAAGAGACAAAAATGATAAAATAGGCTATCAGTAAATAAAAGATATTTTCAAAGTATTTCATTTGATAGATTTGATAGTCTATTTGATAGATTGTTGGGGCACACCCTAATGTATCTGTTCAAATTCCAGTTGGAGAATATTTTTGTTTATATCTTTTCTTTATGTCTTGCCCAATGATTATTTTAGAACTTACTCTCAGAAATGTAATTATTGGGCTAAAAGGAACTTTCAAAGCATCTTATGAACAATTTAATAAAACTTATCAGGATAACTTATAAAATATTTAATTTATAATAAATTTGTATATTGATTAATTTTGACTTTTTATTGATTAATTTGAACTGTCATTATCTGAAAGTTTAAAAATAAATTTAAAAGTAAATTGTTTCAACAATTAGAATTAATATTAGTATGATATTATATGATATTTCTGAACTTTTTTTTTCTTGATACAGTCTCTCACTATAGTGCACAAGTTAACCCCAATCTCCTGAGTTATCCTCCTGCCTCAGCATTGAAAGTTTCTAAGATTTATACACATACAACATCATGTCCAGGCCAACTCTTAATCCTTAATTTTGCTCTTTCTATGAAAAAATCTTTTATTCTATATTGAAACAGATGATGCAAATTTGTAATTAAAGAAGTTACACACAAAAGTGTAAACGGGTTAAGGGATCCAATAAGGGTAGAGAAGCAAGTAGGGTCTGCCAGTGGAGAAACATTGCTATGCTTGGTCCCTGAAGGACACAGGGAACCCAGTGAAAATGGAAATCCTGAGAGCAATATGTCCACTAACACTGGCCATAGATAGAGGCATACAGACAAGGAGTAGTGGGGAGAAAAAAGGGAAAAATGCATATTTTGATTTTATTCTTCTGTTTACTACCCCTCTTTGTAGAGGACAAAGAAGCCAAGATAATACATTTCAAAGAGGCCAAACTCTATATAAGTGGCCTGGGTTTGTAATCAGAGAATA